GGGGGCCTCACAAGGGCAAAAAAGGGGGAGAAGGTGGTTCAGCAGGATCGAGTCACCCAACTCAGGAACACCTTCAGAAGCGAGCCATGGATCTGCCTATGGAGGAATGGATGCTTCTTGTCTTTGGCAGCTGTCTCCATTCTAGAAAGAGCCTTGTTCCTAATACATGGGCCAAAGAGGGCTCAACTCCCCTTTGCAGAGGATTTTTTAATTGCTTCAAGGGACACAAGTTAACCAAGCATCCTTTCTCCTAGAGACATGCTGGCCAAGACAGCCTGAAGCGCAAGAGGAAACGGAGCTTGTTCTATACCCACCCAGCCCTGGCCCTGTGGGGCACTGGGGCTGCTGCATTACAGTAAAGAGGAATAAAGCACAGATACTGGTTGTTGGCAGAGCAGCAACCAGGACACATTGCTCCCTGGAAGGGGCAAGAGGTGGGCCACTGGTTCCCAGTGCAGTGAAGGGGCAAAGCAAAATCGTCATCTGGCCTTAAAAAGGAAAGTCAAAAGAATTCAGAGAAAAAGGCAAAGTGAGCAGAAGCTCCTTGAGAGCATCCCTTGGAAACAATGTTAGCACAAGCCACTCCAGAGGAACACGTTGAAGAAAAAAAACACAAACAAAAAAAATGCAAACTCAGCTGCTGAGCAAAGCCAAGACCAGCCTTTAAATGGGTGCAAGCACATACACAGTCATTCCCTTCCCTTATCTGCGTGACTTCAGTAGTGGTGTCAGCCCCCAGCTGCTACACCCTCTGCACTGCTCTTCTGTCCCTCAACACCCCCCCCCCCGAATCAGTGCAGTCACAGCAGGACATGGGGGGCAGCTGTTACGCTAGAACAGGCTAGTCCCATGTCCACCCTCTTTCCCTGCAGCCACCCCTGAGGCTTGGGGTCAAGCCTGTATCCAGTGCTGGAGGAGAAGGGCAGTGTGGAGTGGAGGGGAGAGGATGGGAGATGGACTGCTGGGAGAGTGGAGATGCGGCATCCGAGAGGACATGAGCAGGACATGACAAGCTGCACTCGGTCAGGGGGAATCTCTGTCCTGACCAGACAGTTTGGCAGCACCGGTACTGAGGGAGTGTCCCAGTTGGGCCAAGAAAAGTCACTTTAAGGTGTCATCAGCGTTCTTGAACATGAGGATGGCATTGTAGATCTTGAGTGCCGGGCCCAGCTTGACACTCATAATCTTGACGATGTCAGACTGCGTCAGCAAGAGGAACGCCTCACCGTCAATCATCTGGAGAGGAGAGCGGGGACAAAGGCACTCACCGAAAACCCAGGCTGTGACTTCCTAGGGACAGCCAGCACAGGCACGACCTGGGGACGTGCACAATTGCACTCATCCTCAGCCAGGTGCCACAGATGATGATCCCAGGGAGTAGGGCAGGGGCCACCCACAGCATTCCCACACTGCCCCAGATAAGCCAGAGCTGCGAGCTCGCGTGACCAGGAACCAGGCAGAGAGGGGGAGAGGCCCTTCCAGGGGCCGCCCCAGGAGCTCAAACTGCAGCCAGCCTGGGCTTCTGCACCAGAGTGTAACAAGCACAGCACACAGCCAGCAGGCAACCTGCTCTGGGCAAACACCCCTCCATTTCCTGCTCCAGGTTCCTGCACACGTGGAGGCTGCCTCCATCTCAGCTTTGCATGCCTGAGCACCCTTAAAGCACAGGGTCTATTTACTAACAGGCTGAGACACTTGTTGTACCCAGTGTGCCCAGCATCAGCCTGCCCTGGGTGTACCGTACATGCCCGAAAGCAGCCCCTCTGTGTGTCTGTCCACAGAGGGGTCTAAAAACAATGAACCTGCCTGACAGACAGCAATGCCACCAAACTGCTGTGCTGGTAAGAGGATGCAGGCAGGGAAGGATGAATGGGTGAAGAGTAAGCAGCTTCCCTCAAGAGGTGATGGTGCTATTAAGGCTGCAGCACCATCCTCCTCCTGCTCCCCCATCCTACCCTCCCCAGAGGGTCCATCCCTCAGCCATGCCAGGACAACAGGGCAGCACAGCTCCTTGGGGGTCAGCATCTCCCCTCCTGTGACTGTATCTGCACAGGCAGACAGCTGCACACTCAAATGCAGTGGGGTTGCTGCCCCCAGGGCTGCAGGGTGGGATCGCTGCCAGGTGCTGGACATGCTCTCAGCATTCAGCAGCAACGTGCTGCAGGAAGGCCACTGGCCAATTCCTCCCTATTCTGTTGGCAAACAGCTATCCTTGGCCACCTGCACTCATCCTCCAGCCCTTCTCACCTCATCCTTGAAGAGCTTGGCTTGATCCTCGCAACCCGTCAGAGTCTGAACAAAGCTAAAGACCTTGGAATAAATTGAGAAAAATGTCAAGACAGAAGCAATGTTTATGGCTGGAGACCTCCCATGAGCCCACATCCTCACTTCCACAGAGGCATTTTGCACCCTGTAAGGTAACATGTGGCTGTTAGGGCACGGCTGGCTGCTGGGACTGATGCCACAGTTCCAGCTACCCAGGCCTTCAGAGGGCCCATCATAGATGCCCAAGAAAGTGAAGGAAGGTGATGATGAAGAATCTGAGGTAAAGATTTCTTTTTCAGAGAAACAGGGAAGTGACTTCTTATCTGCAGAGTCTATGGTTTAATTTTTTAACCTGGCAAAGATGAAACTGATTGCTTTAGAAAACTGTAACATGCTAAATGAAGAGACTGCTGTTTGCCTTCACCTGCTTGCCCTGGGCTAGTGTCACATTCAAGCCAAGCGAGAACCTGGTAGTTCTGCATGTGCTTCCCAGAAGCTGCCATGAGGGCTCATGTCTGGCAGCTGTCCATGCAGTACCACCCAAGCGTGTCCAGCAGACCGTCTTCTCACTAATGCAGGGAAGGGGCCGCTGAAGCACCTCCATGCCTTGTGCATGTACCATGGTGCTGCACAGCCAGGTAGAGTGCTGCCAGCCATGCCAACGGGTTAGGAGCCAGCATGCAGTCTTCAAAACCATCTTACCTCATCAATGGTCCACTTGGCCACTGTAGTTGCTGTGATGCCAGCCACACCCGGCAGGAGTTTGCAGTGCTGCTCCCAGCAGAGCGACAGGGAGCGGTCGGGGTGGGCAGACAGGGCAGACATGAAGAGCGATTGGTGCATATTGTCTGAAGAAATAGCTGGCAATAAAAATGCAAGATGTGATACAAGGTAGAAAGATAAGAACATCCCATCCCATCCTATCCTACAAGCCTTGGGGAAGGCCCCATTTAGGGGAGGGCCCAGGGCTGGCAGCAGATGGTCTCATGGGTCCAGGTATCAAGAGCTAGTGGTTGTCCCTTGAATTAATAGGATATCAGTGTATCCAAGTGTTCAGTTTGGTGGGATTGGGGATGGTGAGGGAAGAAGTTTAGAGACAAGCTTGGCTTTGCCTTGTTCTCACCACCTTCAATCATTCATTTTCCATACTCAACTAGATTTCCATATCAAATCTCACACCAGAATGCCAGCCCATATCATTCAGTTCATTTCATGTTTTTAACAAAGCTTTTCCCTTGCTCTCTGCTCCCAGGAGTCAAGGATGGCTCCCAAGAAGACATCCTCTTCATTCATCCCCAGTGCTGGGGTAGGCAGCAGGACAGCCTATGGTAAAATGGGATACTGGCTGGAATAAATGTCAGTCATTGTCCTATGTCAGTCAGAACTAAATGCCAAGCAAACTGTTTAGCATCGATTTCTGTGCTGCAGCAATAATTTGGCACTTCACAACCACATTGATATTTTGGGGTACGGCAGCCACAGGATGAAGGCACAGCATCCCTGCCTGAAGAGGACAAAGCGCTGGGGAAAATGCACTGCCATAGAGGGAGGATCCCAATTCCCTGCCCTAAAGCACTCACAGATTCACAGATGTAAACAGAGAGACACGATGAGGGACCTAGCAGAGCTCTGGTAAGAGGTAGGGACGTTCTTTGTCAGATGGCCAACTTCGGCAGTTGACCACAAGCTCCTCACTGGTGCTGACCTGCATGAGGTCTGAGCAAGTGAGTCAAGGCAGACATGCCTCCAACAGCTACCACCCCAGCTCCTCAAGCCTTGCCCCTGTGATGACACCGCGGCAGAGGATGGCACTTACTCTGGAAGTCTTCCTGCTGGATCTTCCGGTACTTTGGAGGTCGCCCTCTAAAGAGACAGGAAGACCGATTTCCAACTGGGTTGGGACTGGCCCGAGGGCCCTCCTCCACACCGCACAGAGCAATGCCTTGGCAGTGGGAGCAAGGATTACCTCTTGGACCCTGACCCAAAGGGTTGACAGCTAAAGACACAAAATGTGGGACGAAAAACCAAGAAAGGTGCCCAACAGAGCTGGAAGGACAAACGCCAGCTGCCAGCAACTGTGCTCCCCCGCGGTCAAGGAGCCTCTCCAGCTTGGCCATCCCTCCCAGGGATGGCAGTCATGGTACAGGGGCCCTGCACTGCTGCATGGGGCTCACCGGGCTTGCCCCTACCTCCCGTGGTGCCGAGATTTCTTTCGCTGAGGGAAGCCAATCAGGTTCCTCTTGCGAGTTGAGGCCTCCGTGTCGGACAAGTCTGCCTTAAGCCTGCCCTGGTTCTTCTCTGCCAGTGGGCACCCTGAGAGGCAGTAATGGGCCGTGAATCTCCCCGTCACATGTCCTGACCCGTCACAACCCGGTGTGGGGCACTTCCTAGAGAACAGAGGGGAGGCAAGCGTTGGACCTGGCTCCGAGCAGCATGGGGGAGGCGAGCCAGCAGGGCCACGCCTCCACCCCCAAGCACGGGAAGCCATAGCCTTAGCCATGGAAAGCAGAGTACAGACGTTGAACCTCGCTGAACAGATTCCCCGAGCGAGGGCGCTGGGTGCATGGGCAGGGCACACCCAGTCCCTCCAGGTACAAACACCCGTCCCACCTTCTCCGCTGCCATCACAGTGACCCTGTGCAAGTCACCACAGTGCTGATCAAGCAGGTCATTGGGGTTCACAGAGTGTCCATCTTCCCTTCCTTGCCCCCACAGGCATCCAGACTAGCCTCAGAGTGAAAAGGAAGCAAGTGTCATGAGTGTGGCCAGTAGAGAAACCCCTGGGAGCCAGATCTGCCTTCCCCATCCTCATGGATGTTCCACCATACTCGCTCCTCTTGATGCCAGCCTGCCATGCTGGGGTCAGCACTACACCATGCCTGGCTTCCCCTGGAAAAGGTCACGCAAGTAACTGACTGAGCTGGGGGAGATGCACTGTTCCTTCTCAGGACTTCCCAGCTCACAACCTCACAGTGAAAGGCATCCATGGGGGCAGGAGGAACATCATCCTCGAAGCTGGCATCAGTGAACAGCATCTTAGAGGCACTGTCCCCTGCATATCCCATATGTCCCCACAGGCAGATGGGCACATAGGGCACCCCCAGGGGCTCTGGGTGCCACAGGACAGCCGCAGAGTAGGAGCTCACAGGAGTTACACTAGCCATAGACTCCAGGCTGTCTTGGGGCCTGGCCTGGAGAGAGCAAGGGCTGCCCCTAAGTCAGGGGCAGAGCCAGGCGTGGGGTGGGTGCAGGTGGTTGTGGTGGTGGTGGCAGGTGCAGAGGCGCGGAGGAAGGGCTGGCATGAGCCAGTAGTGAAGCTGTGCCCCTCTGAGCCATGCTGGCGAGCTCACCTGTGGTGAAAGCTGTACTTGGAGCTCTTGGTGTGAGGAATGCTCTTGCAGCCCAGGGTTGGGCAGCCCCCATGGGCAGAGGAGGCTGGTTCCTTTGGCCCTAGACCAGGAGGAGAAACAGGAGAGACACTATCATGGCTGCAGCCCCAGGCAGAGCCAGGGCTCTGGGCTCCCTGCCTGTGCCAAATCAGGAGGACTTTTTCAACTGACAACTCTACAGAAAAGCCCTTCCTCTCTGCCCATCCTTGGCCAGCACCTGCCTTCCTATTTCTGCGCACAAGCAGTGGGGATCTGGCATGCTTGGGCCCTGGTATGAGGGATTGACCCAGGCACATGACTTACTGAGAGGGGGCTGCAGTGGGTGTCCAGTTTTTGAGCACCAGCCTATGGGGTGGATGTCCGGATGATCCGCATCAATCCAGAAGTCATAGACATGACTCCAGCCATCAAAATGGATCTGGGGAGACAAGTAGAGAGGTCACCCTTCAAACCTCAGGGCACCTCTCTGAGTTCTGGAGCCCTCCAAGCTGAGAGCAAGCAGCAGGGTAGAGCTGAACTGCAGCACAAGGCTCTCCTTCACTCCTGGAGCCAGGCACTGGGACCTGCCAACCTCTGCACGGTGTGCTTCCACAGACCTCCACACACTTTGCCACTGTAACTGGCAGTGAGTTGGGAAGGGCAGGAGCAAGCCACCGCAGTGCCTGGTCACAGGTTCAGCACTGAGACTCCAGCACCCACCTTTATCCTATGGTCTTCCACATCCTCCACAGTGGCCACTCGGATGAAGGAAGGAGTCCTCCTGTCCACTGCCTCCAGCTTCATGTTGACCAGGAAGCTGTGGGGTGGGCGCTGAGGCCAGGAAGAATCCAGGTCAGTGGGGAGCAGAGCCTTTCTTCAGGCTCCCACTCCCCATGGCAGCTTTCCCAGCAGTGTGTGCTCCTCAAGCCCAGCTCCCAGCCCTGGCCTGTCCGGGTAAGAGCCATCCCAGCTCACAGTGGCAACAGCAGAGAGTGGAGACAGGCCTCCTGGATCTAAGCTGTGTTTCAACAAGATGGGAAAGCTGTGCCCAAGGGAAGAAGGTCTCCAAGAGACACATTTTTGTGATCTATATTGCAGCCACACTTGGCTGGTCACAACTGCTGTTGCTGCAGTTGGAGACAACAACTATAAAGCAAGCCTAAATGATTTCCCACCATCCAGATCCTGTCTAGCCAAGGGGATGGTCATACTTTCCATTTTTCCCAGTTTTGAAATATTTGCGCAGGATAGCCCTGACTTCTGAACCTTGAGCGTAGATCCAAATCCCAGGCCTGTGGCAGGAGCATACTGAACATCACTTGACTTTTCATAAAAGCAAAGACCTGTCAATGGAGAAAACCCAAATTCCTGCCCAGGCACAGTGGAGCAGATGATGTGGCACTCACCACTTTAAAGGCCCAAGCTGGGACAGCAGATGCTCCGGTTTCCTTTAAGTACTTTTCCCAGGTGAAGTTGTCGGGGTCAGGATAATCTAGTAGGGGGAAGATGCAGAAGGTGAGATACACCTGCAGGAAGACAGCAAATACCCCAGAATGTCTTACTGCCTCGAAGGACCAACCAAGTCTGTGTCAGGCACACAGGAACCTGAGAGACATCAAGAAGTACTACTATTTTCTCATGGACCATGAAATCCAGGGTACAAGGAAGCAGAAGCATCTGGGCCTGCACAGACAGCTTGGATGTCCTCATGTCTCCACTTGGCCCGACACAACTGCCATGCTGCACCTGAACACATGTACAGGAGCCTTGGCAGGACCATGCCACCTCCCTGGCTGTGGCCCTGCTGAAGGAAACTGCCTCATCTGCAGACAAGCAAGGGCCATGGGGTTTGCACCCCCAGGCTCCCCACTCCACCCTGGGAAGCCTGTCCCCAAGGGGATGTGCCAGTGAAGGCTGCGTTCCCAGGCCACTCACTCACCTTGAGGAGGTGTGAGGGGTTTGCCATGCTCCTGACACCATCCAACTGGGTGGATGTATGGACTGCTGGGGTCACACCTAGAAAACACACCCAAACTCTTACATAGGGCTGACATACCCGCCTCATCACTGCGAGACAGCGCGGGCTGCAGGGGCCCAGGGCAGGCCACTTGGTGGCACCCCCCAGGCCTGCACCATCAGCAAAAGCCCCTGCAGAAGCTGAGGTCTTCTACAGCACCCTTGTCCCTGAGTGACCCAGGGAACCACGGGTCCTGGCAAGACAAAGGCCCAACATGAACACACCCCAGGTGCAAGCCCTGACACAGAGCTGCCCAGGGAACAGCAACCCTTTGCTGCAAGTGGGGAGACAGGCCATGCCTTTCAGAGCTCGGAGCAGTGAGACCTGAGCAATTGGGGGGAGCTCATGTCCTGGTCACAGCTCCAAGTAGGTCACAGCACACTCGGGTGCTGCTGCTTCACAGGTCTGCCCTGGGACAGAGCAGGTAGCTGCCCAGCACCAGAGAGCGAGGAGTAGCTGGGGACAGAAACTGCTGCAGCCCCACAGCTCCTCAGGGCAAGAAGTAAGAGGTCAGAGGGCTCCAGCCACAAAGGAACCAGTTGCTCTCAGAATCCTGACTGCGCTAACTGGCCATTTTAATTGGCCTTAACCAGCCTCAACTAGGACACCTCCCCACCCCAGCCACAATCCCCTGCCTAAAGATGCAGGGGCTCCTTTTAAGATCAGGCCTTCAGTCTCTGCATTGCAGGTGGCCCCATCTTCCAGGTGGATTTCAGGGCAAGCCCACAGCATGCAATCACATCTGTCTTTGCCCCATGTTAATTACAGGGCCATGGCAATGTCCCAGGCGGTGATGTGGAACCAGTAAAGGTTTGTCCCCCAGCACAGGGGGTGACCCTCTGCCTCACTGGACCACTGGTGGCCTGTCTACAGCAGCATGCTGGGATTGTCCCACATTTTCCCGAGCAGCCTGTCACTCTTGCTGAAGCAGTGGCAGGGTGTCTCCCCAGCACTGGCACCCCAGGAGCCTCTGTGCACTTACCAGTAGTCATAAGTATCATCCCAGTTGTCAAAGTGCACCAAAAAGCGATTGTCCACCACGTCAGTCACTGTGGCAACACAGATCAGGGAAGGGTTCATGCGGTCCACAGCTTCAAGCTTCATGCCCACCTCGAAGCCTGGGGAAGCCTCGTGCTGGGAGAAGAGAGGTACAGGTTTCTTTCAGAACCGCAATCCCAGTGCCCTCCTCACCACTTCCCTTGCCTGCTGCAAGGAGGCACCTGCCCAAACCCTCCCAAAACCAGACCCTCCCTGGACTCCAGGCAGGCCCAGGATCACTTAGGATCCCAGAAGGGCAGTGCCTTGCTCTGCATGCAAGAAAAGAGGCAGAGGGTAAGTAACTCAGCTTGGCCACTCAAAGAAAGAGGAAAAGAAATCTTCATACCCTCAGGAACTTCTATAAGTAGTAACCTCCAAGAGAAAAACAGCCTCCAACTTACACTGATTCATATTTTGTCACAGAACACTTGTTTGCGGTCACACTTCTGCAGTGTTAGCAGTGACCATGGCTTGGCAGCAGCAATACCCTAGGCTTCGCAGGAGGAGCTAGGATGGGACCTTTCATCCTACCTTGCCTGTATTTCTTGGAGCCAAAATCTGTGCAAAATGCTGTGTCCCATGCTAGTGGGATTGTCGCAGCAATGAACAGGAGGGTTTAGACACGATAAATAACTTGAAAAGGCTGATTTATCAGTAGGTTGAGTTTCCTCTGTAGCTGACAAAGAAACCATCAGCATTTTGCACTCCGCTATATTCCAACTTTCTTTACCCAAGCTGCCATATGCAAAATAAAGGCAGAGACAGAAACAATGAACACACAAAACAGAGACAAAAGAATTATAGTTATCAAACATTAACTGAGAGTTTTTGGCAAAACAATTGTTGAGAGTAGCAGTTATTTCTCCTCACCAGTACTTTTCCAACAGATTTAACTGTCCATGAGACCGACTTGGATGAAACAGTGAATCAGACCAATGCCAATTTTGGGCACACCAAACTAGTGTCCAAGCTACAGATCCTCAGCAGCAAAGCATGCCACATCTCATTAAGCAATGCCAGCAGTACAATCTCCTGGCCATTTGCACTGTAGGCTTGAGAAGCGTGGGGTGGACAGAGAAAAGCCCAGCACTGGCAGAGGTAGTCTGCTCAGCTGGAGGGGAAGAAGCCACACCTGAACCTGCGGGCTCTAGAAGGAGAAGCTGCTACTCACAGTGTTTCGGACCATGAAGAGGTGCTTAGGAGCTGCCTGAGCCTTTGTTATCTTCAGGTAGTTTGTCCAGCTGAATTCTTCTTCCTTATAACCTACAACCCCTCAGGAAGACAAAGGAGAGCACCAAATTCACCAAGAGCAGCCAGGAGGTCATGAGGCCGAGACCGGCCATCCCCGACCAGCCGTCACCCTGCCAGGCATGTCCTGCTGTGGGCAGACGGGGTCTACGGCAGCCCTGGGAAACCCAAAGCCCGTGGCTTAGGCCCAATGGCTGATTTTGAAGGAGTGCTAGGAAATGTTGGCAGCGGAGTGGAAATCCAGAGCTCAACTCCTCCCCAGAAAGCATCAGTCCCACCTGCCCTGGGGCACAGCTGCTGGCTCTAGCCTGGCACTGGGACATCCAGGGTGACACGGCTTTGCCCCAAAAGGGAGTGAGGAGAGATCTTTAGCGTGATGGGTGGCTGAAATGTTGTCCTGTGGAACACCCCCAGCACAGCAGCATCCCTTCCTGGGCCCCATGGAGCCACCCTGTCCCCATCTCCAGCTCTACATTTGGGAGCCCACTACTTGTCCCCCTCCTTCAACAGGACCCATGAACTGAGACTTGCTAACTCCTTACCTTTTGGGGGCTGGAGTTTGTGCCCCGTCTCCTCAAACCAGCCAGCAGGGTGGATGTCGGGGGAGTCAGCATTCAGCCAGAAATCATGGCACTCAGAGTAGCCATCAAAGTGGAGGCGCATCCGGTAACCACACACCTATCAGCAAGGAGGGCAGGAAAAGGAAAGGACCATGTAAACCACCTGCTGTCCCTGGCTGAGCATTGCACACACCTCCCCTCCCACACATAATCTCAGCATACCACTTAGGGAAGGCAAGAGTCAATCATAGGCCAATGCCCAAATAGGGAGGCACATGCCAGTCGCAGAAGGTGTCCATCACAGAACAGGGTAAATGCAAGGCTACCATAAGCCAGCCCTGATAGGGGAGGTTCAGGCTGGTGCATGAGACGCCATGGTGGGGCACCCTGATGGATCCAGCAAGAGCAAGGATTCCCTTTTCTGCACCTGGGGGAGATGCTGGTGCAGGGATTTTGGCTAAATGCCATACTGCTTTGGCAAAATCTCTCCAGCAGCAAGAACAGCAGCCACTGTTGTATGGCTGATCTCTCTGCCTGCCTGGGGAGCACTGTGAGCCAAGGCTGGTTCGGCTGCCACATGGCTGAGCAGAAAGCCCCACAGACAGAGGGCCTCCACGGACACAAGGAAGAGCAATGCAATGCCCCCACACCCTCCATCTCAAGGGCTCAGACCTGTCTGAGGAGCACCAGCAGTAAGATAAGCTGTTGCCATCACCACAGTCTCTCCCCCCATGGCCCTGCTGTGTCAGGCTGATAAAGAGACCAGCTAGGCTGGGGCATGACAGCTGCTCTACAGCACTGTTTCCTGCCCCTCCAAACTGGAAGGAAACTCCTCATTTGCTTGACCAAGGTGATGGAGTGCCACCTCATGTCATGGAGCAGCATGCAGGCAAGGGCCCAAAGCCAGTCTCCTCCACAGCCCAGCTGGCAGCACCTCCCCTCCCACAGAGCCTCCCGCTGCACAGGTGTGAGGAGGAACCACAGAACATGGGAACCGGAGATGCCTTACCTCAGCCACTGTCAGGATAAAGTACATAGATGGGTGCTGTGGATCAATCCCCTCCAGCTTCATCCCCACTTTAAAGCCGTTCTTGTGCTGGGAAGCTACTTGGTACTGGAAACAAAAATTAAACTACAATGTAAAAAACGACACAGGTAGTTGGGTCTAGAACCATCCCAAGGAGCAACCATCAGGCAACGGGAGCTGCTGGGACCAGGAGATTGTGGGCCACAGGTCATGTTGTCATCCAAATTTTAATTCTTTTCCCATACAAAAACACATTCTTCCACCTCCTTGTGGGTTTGCATCTCTTGCTACTGGCAGGGCAGGGTGCCCCTAGGCTAAGCTGCAGCCAGGGAGAGTGGGGCACAGGCCTGGCTCCTTTTGCACCCTGGCAATCAGACACCTGGGAGCAGGGGTGCAGCGCATCAACGTGGCCTCAGAAGAGCCCATACCTGGCTTTGAGGAAGGGCTGGAAAGGCTCCATCACCCTGCCAGAGCTACAGGGGTGTCCTAGGCAAATGTGGGGTGCTTGGGATGGGGGACAGCACCCTGCTGGGGAGTGGGACTTGGGGCAAATCAAAACTGGAGGCTGACTGGTCACCTCCAGGTGAAGATGGGAGCTTACTTATCGCTCAGAGTCCCACAAAATAGGGAAGCAAGGAAGAGAAGAGAAGAAGGAGGGGTGGGAAAAAAAAGGGAAAGGAAAGAGAAGATGAAAGAAGGAAAAAGACAGGAAAATCCCAACTCACATCCTGGAAGAGATCTAAAGGGGCAGCGACAGCTTTCTGCTCCTCCAAGTAGGACGCCCAAGACCAGCCTTCTTTCTTCTCCTCACTGGCACCTGAGCGCAGCACAAACGCACACACAAGAGGCGCTGCTGAGGGTCTGCTCCAGCCTCTGTCCCTGCCTCGGGGCAGTGCAGAGGGCAGGCAAGCACATGGCTCCCACTGGGGCCACATCCCATTCTCACGCACAGGCCTGCATCCCTGCAAAGCTCAGCACCATCCTACCAGAGCCCCTTCACGAGCAAACCTGGCTGGCTGTCCAAGGAGGGACAGAGCTAAGAGGCCCCCTCTCACACAGGTCCCCATGACCCAAATATCCTCTGTCACTGTACAATGTTCTAGTAAGGCACCGAAGGAGCCTGAGGGACAAGCCATCCTGTGCAAAGCATCAGGACACCTCTGCAACCAGTCCTCCTCCAGCTAGTACATCCGAAATGGCCACAGCACTGATGGATTTGGGACAGCCAGCAGGATCCATCCAGAGGTCTGGGAATCACTCGCAGCTGCAAGGGGCTTCCGGCCAGTCAAACCAGCAGCGAGCTCACCTCCCACCACCACTCCGGAGGCACCAGCTCTGCTATCCTTGCTCTGAGACAATCACCTGAGCCCCCCTTGGCACACCAGGACCACTCTGATACCCTAGAGATGCATTTACCCTTATGGTATTCAGGAAAAGAAGACAACTTCATCTCTTCATAGGCAGGGAGGTAATCCTTCGTGCCTTCAGCCCCTTTGGGAAGGCCACAAAGGCCTTACCCAGGGCACATGAGACACATGCCAAGTCTCTTGCTTTCCAGCCACTTTCTCTCCCTGCTTCATAGTGCCTGAAGGGACTCCAGGAATGCTGTGCCTATTCCAGCACTGAGTAATTCACAGCTACAGGCCAGCCATGGCAGACAGCCTTTGGTAGGACAGGCCAGAAATGCAGGGAAAAACAAACCAACTCCTTCCTCCCTTGGGCTTAGTGGAAGCGGAGATGGAAAAAATAGGAACTTGCGGAAGAAATTAAAGCTGAGCTTCAGTGAGCAAGGTTACTAACCTAGATGCTGAGCTAATACTTAAGAGTGACAAACACCTTTATGATTCTTTAGGACATAGAAAAAAGTGGCAGGCATGTTTGGGGAATCTGTAAGTACAAGCTCTGCACTTCTGGAGAATGACAAATACACCTGGAGACAGAGCATACACTGACTCTGCTGCACTGAAGCATCCAGGTGTATATTTTGTTTGCTGATGTACTTCTAAAATAAGAGAAAAATGCTAAAATAACAAGGCTCATCACTGCTTACTTGTATGCAGCAGGGAAGGTTACATGCTCAGGGCTCAGACTGTAGAGAAAAGGACCTGGCAAGCAAGTATGAGATCTTTTTTTAATAGTGGTTAACTCAGTGTAACATCAGGGGTTAATGACATCTGGCCCCTGCTACTGTCCCTACATTTGGCTATGGAGAAGAGCATGAAACTGGAGTTTAATTTTAAAATTACTTTGAGTATGACCTTTCACTATGCAAAGACAAAAAGTTTCCCATAAATGTTTATTTTCAGTATTTTCCCCAGTTTTCCTTCCCCCTTACCCCCATCACACTGCAGAGAAAAAATCAAACAAGCAAACACTGCATCCCTCAGCTTGTCTCCTTTCCCGCTGTGTTGACAGCTCTGCATTTGAGATCTCCTCTGATATGGTCCAGGAATAGATCCACACGAGATGAGACAACCCCAAATCACCCAGCTTCAGCTGCACCAGACCTACAGGAGCAGCTCCCAAACTTGTGAGCTCCCGATAACATGAGGGAAGTTCCCTGTAAGACTGTCCAAAGCAGGGGCAAAGCCAGACATGGCGCAGAGTTACACTGCTGCTCAGGATAGTGTCTCTTGGAGCAAACACGGTATCCACAAGCAAGTAATAAATTCAGCTCCCAAGGGAAGGGACCAGAAAGCACTGTACAGCATGGCCCAGTGCCTGAAGAAGACACAGCCATATCTGTAAGGGTGCACCCTTCCCATGGAGAGAAAGAGAGGAAAGGAGAGAAATGGAAAGAGACAGAGAGAGCGGGATCAAGCCAGCAGAGGAGCTTACAAGCCTTCAGGAACATGTACCACTGCATTGTACTGGGTGTTTGACTCTGCTGGAGCACCAAAATGCTGGCCCAGCCCCACAGTACCACAGCTGGACCCCACAGCCATGGCGAGAGCGCTCACCCCACCACCCGCCTAGCCCTCCATACCGTGCTGGCTCCCATTCCACGCATCAGCCTCTGGATTGCTGATGACAGAGTCTCCTGCAGAGTTTTTCCTCTCTTCCTGCTTTTCTTCCTAGACATGAGAGCAGACAAAAAAGAAACCCATTGCGTTGGAGGTCTGGACAGTGGTTTATGCTGTATTGTACCCTCACACCAGTGCAAAGGGCCATACCGTGCCAGGAGCCCAAGGGGGATTTTGATGCTAAGTGGTAGCAATCACAACTGGAGTGGATCTGCTACAGTTAGGGCTGGCAAGCAGAGCTTCCTTGCCTCATCAGTCACTCTCCCTTCCCCAGGATACACATCATGCAGATAAACACTCTCTTACTTCAACACTTACTTTGGTGGCCCAGACTCAAGAGAGCAGTTGAGAGTGCTGGATACCTACAGCCCAATGTGGACATGCCTAGCACTGCCCAATCCAAGGTGCTCAGCATGCCAAACAGCCAGCCAAGTGTCTAGAAGCCCTAATGCTCCACACATTCAAGTCTTTTTGGTATTAACAGCCTACAGGTTACCCTTTTGACACATAGCTGACACAGCACTGAAAAGCACCAATGAGAACTGCACGCACCCTCAGTGCATACAGGGGTGTCCCATGTCCCACCCTTGACATCAGCATGTGCGCACACATCCCCTCCCTGCACTATTCCTACCATTTGCTCAGATTCATATTCTTCCTCTGAAGGGCTCTGGTAGTCCTTCCTCTTTCGTTTCTTCACTGGCTTTAGGATTTCAGTGGCATTGTTGCTGCTGGCAGAGTTTTCCACAATGACGGACCTGCATGGAAGAAGGGTAAGTAAACCTACTGCAGCATGGTACGTGGCAATGGATAGGGTGTCAGTAAGGGACTGGTTGCTGGAGAATCACTGTCACCCCATTTCTTACTCGTACATGCTCCCATCCCTCCTGCCTAATGTATGTGCTCCTCTTGGCACACAAGTTGGCAAGAAGTTAGAACCAGGGTACAGACCAGAATCACCCTCACACACTTGGGTGTCAGAAACCTGAATCCAGGGATGGATCAAAAGCAATCTAGTTTCATAGCAGGGCTCTAAGTTGCATCAGTCACACAGAGATGCTGGAAAACGAGTCCCAGCAGACACACATTAGTAAGCAGAGGGGCTGGAAATGCCCTCATGACCCATGCCTCCCACTGCTGCTCAGCCTGGAAGCACCCACTACAGCAACCTCCTGCTGCAGCCCTGCTCCAGCAGGTACATGTTTATGAGGCCACAAATTGGGCAGGAGAAAATCTGGCTCCTGTGCTTCCTGCTGTCCCCTGGGACAAGTCTTGATCCCCCCACAGTGCAGCCAGGGCACTCCACCTACAGGAAAGAGAGAAACAAGTGGGGTCCCCAGCACCTGCCAGAGACAGATGCGCTTGCATCCCTTGCTGGAGCATGTGGACAAGGGGAGGCAGGGCAGACAGACAGATGGATATGGCTCTGTATGGAGCAGACTCCCCTTCCTTCACCTTTCTTTGAACTGCTGGTGACAGTGCTCGCTGCAGAAGCCCCTGCCTTCCCGGGCTCCATCTGACACATGTCTCCGGCCACAGGTATCACAGTGGCACATGCTTTCTGCTGTTGGCAGCTTGGTCTGCTCTGGCACATCTGAGTCAGAGAGAAGAGGAGCAGTGAGGCACAAGGTACAGCAAGGGAAGGAGAGCAGGAAGCAGGAGACATTTGCCTTGCTCAGGGCCTATGCCAAACACCTGCTGGATGACAGCACCCACCCCAGAAGTGCCACCATGGTGTCCTTACCCTGAGCAGTAGGATTGTCCCTGCTAGTGGGTGCCACCTCTGAGTCCCCATCTTTCTCTGTCTGACCCTCCTTTATAGCTTCCACTGGAGGCATCTTATCAGCACTCACCACCTTCAGCGTCCCGTACTCGTTTATTCGAAACTATGTCATTGAACCAAAAAAACAAGGAAAAATAGTTAACAAGGAGGATAGAAATGTAACTTGATAGCTAGTGGGTGCATGCGAGCTCTGAGAATGAGAGGGACATGGTTCAGTCATTAGTGCATCCAACAAGAGGACAGGTCTTCTGATGATAGAGGTGAGCACAGCACCAAAGTCACCTGTTCTGCTGCCCCTCCTTGCAGCCTGTGCTGGCCACTGAGCCTGCCAGGGCAAGCACACTGCCTGCACGTGGGTGAGACCAGCACCAGCTGGCAGCACAAGGGGCAGGGCGGTTGGCTGGAGGATGTGGTGCCCTGAGGCTGAGAAATCAATGCATTTTGTGCAAGCTATTTCACGTACCAAGCAGTACACCTAAAGGCACCTGCTGTCTGATGAGCGCAAGGCCACTGGGTGAGTGCAGGAGTTTGGTGAGAGCCAACTCCACGGCACAGCTTGGAAAAGAAAGATGCCCTGCACAGCAGTAACATCCCTCTGCCTGCTGCAGCCCCCCAGCGTGCTCTCTCTGCTAAGCTCACAAGATGTGAGGGGCATAGGGATGGGGCACAATAAGAGCCTCGCAGAGCAGGAATAGGTGGGATCCTCCAGCTGGGGTGCGGGTACTGCCAGGGGCCACTTCACATCCTGGTGGTCCCTGCCTGGCACAGGCTGAGGGACTGCCACTTACAAGGGGCAAGCAGCTCCAGGGAGTGTGTGTGGGGTGTGTGCAAACACAGTGGCCCAGGGCTACACTTACCCGCAGGTTACTCCCAGGCAAAGTAGCCACCCCATCTTTCCACTCCAGCACACGGACTGTGCTGCAGGTCTGCACCCCGCTGATCTGGGGAATGACAGTAGCTGTGATGGGCTCACTCCCTGCTCCCCTCTCTGGCCTCTCAGCCCCTGTGCTTCTCTGTGGTTCCCTGGGGAATCGCTGAATTTCTAAGGTGCTCGTGGGAAGGTTGATGGTAGTGGTATTTGCTTGAGAAGGGAAGAAAGGAAACAAACAACCAGAGGCATACACAGAACACTTAACTGATGCAAACAAGGCTCAAAGGCAGCACAGAATGACAGAGAGGACATGGTCTCCCAGCTGAGGGCTCACTGCTGTGGGCTAAAGCACCCACAAGCAGGCAGCACGACCCAACAAGATCTACAGCCAGCAATGGCTTGTGCTGTGGGGTGGCACCAACACTATCCACATTCAAGGGTTCCTACTTCAGCCTAACCTCAGACTATTCCCATGATCAGGATGCCCTGATGTGGCAGGAGTGTGCTGGCGAGCTCCTGGACTGCATCTTCCAGTTCAGTTTCATTCCAAAGGAACACACTGTGCGACCCAGGGCCATTCCACAGTGGGAACCGAGGCACTGGGAGCAAGAAAAATTGGGAGATTTGCTTCTAAAGAACACCCCTGGTTTCACCTAACACACATTCATGCTTTCCTTGCACACCTCCTGAAAGATGCTGGTCAGCTGGGCTGAAAATTGTTGTCCCAATTTTCAAGAAGGGTAAGAAGGACGACCCTGGTAATTACAGGCCTGTCAGTCTCACTTCAGTGCCTGGTAAAATTATGGAGAAGGTTATTCTGGGACTTATTGAAAAACACTTGAGAGACAGTGCAGTCATTGGTCATAGCCAACACAGGTTCATGAAGGGAAAGTCCTGCTTAATTAACTTAATTTCTTTTTATGATAAGGTCACCCATCTACTTGACCAAGGGAAGCCAGTAGATGTGGGTTTTTTGGATTTTAGCAAAGCTTTTGATACTGTCTCTCACAGTATCCTTCTGGACAAAATATCCAGCACACAGCTAGACAAGTCCATAATATGTTGGGTGAACAACTGGCTGATGGGTTGGCCTCAAAGACTTACAGTAAGTGGGGTCACATCAGGCTGGTGGCCAGTCACCAGTGGGGTTCTGCAGGGCTCAATTTTAGGGCCAGTGCTCTTTAATGTTTTTATAAATGATCTGGATGGAGGAGTCAAATGTATATTAAGTAAGTTTTTGCCAATGACACTAAATTAGGAGGAGCTGTGGACTCCCTTGAGGGTAGAGAGGCCTTACAGAGATCTGGATAAACTAGAGAGCTGAGCAATCACCAACTGTATAAAATTTAACAAGAGCAAGTGTCAGATTCTGCACCTGGGACGGGTTAATCCTGGTTATATGTACAAACTGGGTGACGAGAGGCTGGAGAGCAGCCCCGCGGAAAGAGATCAGGGGGTTTGGGTTCATGGCAAGTTGAATGGGAGTCAGCGGTGTGCCCTGGCAGCCAAAAGGGCCAGCTGTGTCCTACGGTGCATCAGGCACAGCATCGCTAGCTGGTCGAGGGGGGTGATTGTCCCACTCTACACCGCACTGGTGCAGCCCCACCTTGAGTACTGGGTGCAGTTTTGGGCACCTCAATAGAGAAAGGACATCAAACTGCTAGAGTGTGTCCGGAGGAGGGCGACCAAGATGGTGAAAGGTCTCGAGGGCAAGACTTACGAGGAGCGGCTGAGGTCACTTGGCTTGTTCAGCTTGGAGAAGAGAAGGCTGAGGGGTGCCCTCATCGCAGTCTACAACTTCCTCAAGGGGGGCAGCGGAGGGGGAGGTGCTGATCTCCTCTCTCTGGTGACCAGCGATAGGACACGAGGAAATGGAATGAAGCTGCGTCAGGGGAAGTTCAGATTGGACATTAGGAAAAGGTTCTTCACTGAGAGGGTGGTCGGTCCCTGGAACAGGCTCCCCAGGGAAGTGGTCACGACACCAAGCCTGTCAGAGTTCAGGGAGCGTCTAGACAACGCTCTCAGTCATATGGTTTAGTTTTAGGTAGTCCTGCAAGGAGCAGGGAGTTGGACTTGATGATCCTTATGGGTCCCTTCCAACTTGAGATATTCTGTGTTCTGTGGTAAGCGGCAACCCAGGAGCCCACATGCCCTGCAGAGCAGGCACCCAGCACACCATGCTGCACTGGCACAGGGCCCCAGACATCAGGGCTTTGGTTTAAAACTCAAGAGGTTTTGATCGGCCACAAATTGTCCAAGTGATGTGGGATAGCCACAGAGAACCTCTAAGATGGCAACAGCAGCACGGCTTTGCCTCCCAAGGTTTGGGAAGAGCACAGATATACAACGAACGTGAGGTATCAACGTGAGGGGAGAAGGCTGGGGAGGCACCAGTTAGAGAGGACAGTTCCGCATACCTGGTATGATGAAGGCAGTCGTTGGCAGGTGGGTGCTCTGCACAGTGCTCTCAGTGGTGACCACATGGACGCTGACCTCCCCAGCAGCATTCCCCTTTGTGCTTCTCACAACCTCCATCTCTGCTCTGCTGTCCATCACCTTGCCTGGGCACAGAGCAAGATACTGGAAGACAGTTAAGAAAGAAATCAAGTTGGGTACAAGTACAAACACGACAAAGGAGTGAGAAAGAGACTGTGGAGGATGATCCCTCCCTTTCCACCATCTCTCAGCAGAAACCCCTGTAAGACATATTAAAGGTCCATTGAACCCAACAGAGAACAGCATGAAGGTCACAGCTGGTACCAACACGACCTAGTAAAGCCCCTGTTGCAAGATCCCAGCTCAGAGCCTGCAAACAGCAAGGGTTTTTTCTTACCTGGCACCACCATAAGATGGTACAAGCACAGCAGGTCCACCACAAGCTATGTCCGCTCCTGGCTCCCACTGGGGCCTACATCACTCTGACACAGACTGTGACTGAGGGTTGGCAAATCCTACCCTGGAGAAGACGGAGTTCCCTGAAGCTCCCTTTCCAGTTCTCCCATTGGGCAGTCACCCTTGATCTTCTAACTGGCTGTAAGAGGGAATTTCACAAGTGACAGGAGTTAACCAGGGCAGGTTGGGGGGGAGTGGAACATGAAGTCCACTGCATGCAACTGAGTTTCTCACAAGACTGGTGATGTTCAACCCATTTAGCCATGAATTTCAAGGAGTAGGCAAGGTGTCAGG